AGCAGCCGAGAATGAACACCCTAGAGGTCTCTCCCTCATTCACCTTAGCCAACTAGCCGAAAAGAGCTACCTCCTGGAAGCTTTTCTCGAGTTCTGCTTTAATCTTAGTGATGTCAAGATGGGAACCTGCAGGTCTTTCATTCTCCAGATGGGTTCTGATTTGGAAAAGGAGTAGCAGAAGAAGGAGAAGCGAAAGAAGAAGAGGTAGAAGAAGAATGCGTTACTGCAGCAGCACGATTACAACACCCAGTAGTGGCTGCGTTGGTGGTGTGGAGGGGTCAATTCGTGAAAATTTTATTTTCACGGGTTGGAAGCAGTAGAAAGCTGCTTTAAAATATATATATCTATGTACCTATATATAATAAAAAAATATGATTTTATGGGGTAGAAGTAAAAGAAAACTGCTTTAGAAAAAAAAAGATATATACATATATATAATTAACATATATATATATATAAACTGCTTTAAATATATATATATACATATGAAAAAGAAAAAAAATCTGCTTTAAAAAACATTGGATGGTTTGGTGTTTGATGATCCCTACCTTATTGACCGCAACTTTTGTATTTATTATTGCATTCATTGCTGCTCCTCCAGTAGATATTGATGGCATTCGTAAACCGATTTCTGGATCTCTACTTTATGGAAATAATATTATTTCTAGTGCCATTATTCCTACTTCTGCAGCTATAAGTTTGCACTTTTACCCGATTTGGGAAGCGGCATCCGTTGATGAATGGTTATACAATGGCGATCCTTATGAACTAATTGTTCTACACTTCTTACTTGGTGTAGCTTGTTACATGGATCGTGAGTGAGAACTTAGTTTCCGTCTGGGTATGCGTCCGTGGATTGCTGTTGCATATTTAGCTCCTGTTGCAGCTGCTACCGCTGTTTTCTTGATCTACCCAATCGGTCAAGGAAGTTTTTTTGATGGTATGCCTCTAGGAATCTCTAATACTTTCAACTTCATGATTGTATTCCAGGCTGAGCACAACATTCTTATGCACCCATTTCACATGTTAGGCGTAACTGGTGTTGAAGGAGAAAGTATTGTCAGGATATTAAAAGTAAAAAAAGAGAAAAATAATAAAATGAATAAATTAATCTTTTGCAAGTATCAATTATGATTAGGATTAGAATTAATATTTTAAATTTACTTCACAACAGCCGCCGCCGCGTTGATTTCGGCCATGATAGTGGCTGTTTAATTACTTATACCCTATAAAAAGTTCAATATTTATGTTATAATTAATCAAAGAAAAGAATAAAATTATTTTTCAAATTTCTCTCTCTGTTTCTCTTCTATTTCTCGCTTCTCTCTCTCTTTCTTCCTCAAGATCAGATAGCCATGTCAAAGACTTCTAACATGGTCCTACCCCTCTATCAAATCCTAGTAGGATTTCCATATAGATTTTTTCTTGCACTCCATCTAAGAATGCATTTTTTACAATGAATTATTGCTATCATCAATCAAATTGAGCAACTAAAGATTGTAAGATCTACACCGTGTTCATTCTAGCTACCAGTGTGAATGTCTCTTAAATCTATCCCATGAATTTGGGTATAGCATTTTGCCACTTGTCTTGTTTTACATCTCTTAATTGTTTCTGTTGTCTCATATTTTATTATGAACCTACTTGCAAACAAGAGGCTTCTTCTCTTTGGACAAGTCCATCATTTCTCATGACTAGTTTTTCTTTAACATCTATATTTCAATATTCATGACATTTTCTCATTTTTCA